GCCTCAGCCTTTGTCCTTCCATTCGATGAAATGAGGGGGATTATAAAGCAACACATTTTACATGTTTTAAGTTTTATGCTTGAGAAAGTTGCAAATCTTCAAACCATGAGTATGACGTCATAACGTCTTTTTATTATTTCCACTGCAAACGTTTTTGACCTTGACGAAGAAATAAATGATTGTATTTTCATTTATATATTTACTTTGATTAAAAAATGTATTTGTATTAATAGCATTAGTAGTTTTAGTTATGTATTATAAGACCTTAGAACTGTGAAAACATCTCCTTCAAACTATGTATTCAAATTTTGAGTTTTCCAGGATTACTTTGATAACATCATGATAAAGTTATAATGTACCTCCTCCCCAATACTAAATATATAGGTTGACTACATCATAACGTAACTCAATGCAACCTCCGTTAGCTAACGTTAACTAGCTTTCCTACTGCCGATTTCAAGACAGATTGTTCATATGAATTCACACACCGAGGGCATTTTTTACATCTGTTTAAATTGCACGTTGATATATTGTTTCGAACTACAGTTTTTGTCTCGAGCACTTTCACACAGAACGCAAATATTACACAGCAAAAGAAGCTGCAACAAGGCCAACTTCATTACCCCTTTTCAGCGCAGGCCAGATCCACTCGGTCCACTCTCATCTTTCACAATAAAAGCCTGAAATGCAAAGTATTTTGCCTTTTTCTTGTTGTTGTTCATTTCGTCACGCCCCCGTGTGACCTTTAGCGTTAGCGGCAGCCTGCCAAACGATGTAAAGGAGCTGGTTGGATCTATTGTAGTTTAGTTTGGACATCTGTTGTCTTTGACATCCCTCAGTCTGATGTAAATAAAATAACCACAGTATGCGTAAAGCTATTCTCTGTCAGTTAGTGTGCTGAAATGATTAATGACTTGTTCTCTTTCCTCCATGACATCGACCGGGCTCTGTAGTCCCCCAATGTATGGGCGAGCAATAGTGAACTGCCGCCGTAAAGCGCCACTGACACCAAAGATTTTTTTGTTTGTTCTTTGCGGCATAAAACTGTAATGAAATCATTGAAAAGTTCTAAAAAAAGAGTATTAATGTGTTCATACTCGATCAACCACAAGCTCCTTCACAAAAGGGAGGCTTCAAAGCGAGATACTGGAACTGGAAATTTAAAAAGTTTGAATGTCTGCAGCACCTAGCCTGTAGTATTTGGGGGGGGGTCTTGGGGTCAGTGGCGAGTGAATGTTTTATGACTTCACCTCTGATTGCTACCTTTCCCTGCAGGGAGCTGACTCAGCAGACTGTCTCTCCTCCACTGAGTGTGTGTAACAGGAGAGAGACGTCGAATGGGCCAGCGGTTCTCTTAATGGAATTTTTAGGACATTAAACGGAACTCCCGGCTCGTTCCGATCCATCCTCCGCTCAGCAAGGATCAGCGTATAGGTCATGAAGCCCCAGTGAATCACGTTAACAGACATTCATTCCCAAAACGACAGATGATTTGACACCTTGTTTTATCTGCGGCGTGTAAATCTCCCACGTTTTTTCATCGTGGCTCGGCTCGCTCACTTCGCTCGTTGACGGTTCTATTGCAGAAGTGCCGTGCAATGAGTACTTTGAGTACGTCGGGCCCGACTTTAAGCTGCACATCAGTTGTTCAGCACTTTCAGTGAAGGATGAAAACAAAATGATCCCTGTGTCCATGTAACAGTTGAATCGATGATGGTTCTAAATTGTTGTTCCGGCAGAGGCTGTTTGAGAACCTGCGGATGCCGCCTCGTGCCCCTGGAGCTCAGATGCAGGCCATCCCGGAGGACGGCGTCCCGGACGACACCGTGGACGAGGACACGGAGACCGAGTGCTATTTCACACCTGACTGGCTGTGTGCTCTTATGTACTGATGTAACCCAGTTACTGTGGGGCTCTCTGCAGTAACGGGTTTCTGTAAACCGGGTTTCTGTAATCAGGAAAGTGGATTAGAGAAACCCATTTGCTGGAACTTTACATTTACAGTGCAGCGGGATGAAAGGATGGATCATAACAAATAGCATGCTTCCTTGTATACTAATTTATTTATTTCAAAGTCTGATTAAAACTCACACAAAATCTGTTTCCACAGCTGAACATTGTTCTGTGTATGATTAAAATCTCAAGTGTGATTAGACCAACGGTTCCCTTAAGTTGGTCTCTAAAGCAGTGTTCTCCATAAAGGTTCAAAGAACATGCACCCCCCTTCGGACACAAAATGATTATTGGCCAATCGGCATTCAATTAAATGAGTTACGTTGCGTTGAAGTTTGGTGTCGTCAGTGACGCAGTTTTCTTTTCTTTTCTTTTTTTAAATAATTTGAATGAAAAATGTGTTTCGCTCATTTGCGTCGTGAGCGTGTCGTGTCAGCCGTTAAAAGATGTAACATCGAGGGGCCACTACACCAAAGTCCTCAGCAACTCATGAGGGGACTTTTCGGCTAGTGGAGCACATCCTAAAGAAACACAAAAAGCCCTTTGAGGCGATGACTGCGGTGGCTGAAATACCGTTAAAGGACCATAAAAATAAGACAGAAATGATGTCTGCTATTGCCTGATGTGCAACTTGGGGCTGTGAGTAGCTCTCAGACACTTTTTATTTTGTCAAAGTAGCTCTGAAGTGTATGGAAAATAACATTACCATTTGCAGGTTTACCCATGTGGGTAAACCTGGAGACGGATCTATAACGACTTCATGTTTAAATATTTTGTATCGCTCAATAAAACATTTCTATATCTACTTGAAATGTGTGTTACGCTCTGTTAAGGTCAGTGTCGTGATTATCATTAAAATGTTTTGTATTGGCTTTTCAAAGATGTATGCATTGTACATTATACAGTATCTGCATCCCACCCACCACATTATTATTGATTCAAAAAATCTATAAATATCAATTTATTTAAATTAAATCATTATACCAGTAATAATACTAGTGACAAATATTGTAAATAAAAATAATAATAATTAAAGATTACACAAGGATACGTGATAGTTATCAGTAACAGGCATACAGTTATATTTCGGCCATGTTTCCTGCTAAAAACAAACAGGTGGAAAGCCACAGCGAGTGTCTGGGCTCGAGAGGTCGGTGTAATGATCACGTGCAGCCACGTGGGGGCGTTCTAACCCAAAAGATAGCATCTCAAGCTAGGCACAGGTGGAGCGTTTTTTAACCAGTGTTAAGATATTGTAAAGCACAATTTAAGATACTTACAACATGAACACTTCATTCTGTTGTATTCGGCATGCAGAAAACCCAAAGAGGACGACTCAAATGTAATAAAATGGCGTTTTATCTGTTCGTATGCTGCTCGCTCCGGTCGTCCACCGGGCCTGGTTCAATGGAAGCAGACCGTAGGGAATGACAAGCGACTCTATGAGTGAAGTTTAAGGCATGCCGAATTAAAAAGCGTCTCCTAATTGTTTGCTAATATCCGTAGTTTAGGCCCTATCTGGAATATAGCCTTCGAAGCTGACAAATAACTTTTTAACTGTCACGAGTTTTGATTCGTCCTGTGTGAGGGAGAGCGGCATGAGGCACAGACTGACACGCGCACTAATTAAGAGGTAAACTAATTAGTGGAAAAAGCTAGCAACCTTTTATTTTAGCCGCTAGCTTAATGTTTGTACTGTTTCCACATTCAGAAGTTCTTGCTAAGCCAGCCTGGAAGCCACAGAGGACGAACATCAGCCATGACTGAGGTAGGAGGATTATTATTATTATTTTTGGTAACTGGAACAGAATTGTCTGCCATAAAATGATGCAAGGGGACTTCAGAGACTGGGATACGTTAGCCCTAACGTCGATTAACACTGTTCTAAGAAGAACACATTAAACCAAGGTCCATGACCAAAACCTATTGATGTGGATTTCATTACTTAACATTACACAAGTGTACTTTAATTAAAATCTCTGAGATTGTGTGCAGGGAGTTAAGGATGTACAAGTCTGAGTGTATAATCTGATCCCTGTGCAGCTACTGTGATTTATCCTTTGCATTCAACAGTTCCATGTTATGTCTGCATATAGCCCAGTGGGACATTTGTAAATATCCATAATTAAGGTTAAAAAACAATTGTAGTCATGTCTTGAAAGGATTGTTAAATTTCCTCTTTTGTCATTACTGATGAGTCATGGTTGCACTTGAGATGAGATTACCACATACTGGTTGCAGAGAGCTTTGGAATTTAAAAGTGTTAAAATGAAGTCACGTCGCACCACTGCCCGAGGAGCTATTAGGCTTAAGAGGCACGAATGTTAGTGTGCATTTCCTGCTTTCGAAGTTTAGTCCATGTGACCCCGGAGGACTCAACAGGTGAGTGTGCAGGAGTGCACGTCGGGCCGATGGAAACGCCGATGCACTGCATTTAGGAAAGAGATTATACTACCAGGCTACAAACTGCAGCATCACTCTCTCACACACACACTGTTTACAGTGTGCGACTGCTCTGTTCACTGTTTCTGCATAACCTGCGTTAGAATCATCACATCGCATCCTCTTTCTGGGGCCATTTCTGTTGTACAGGAGACAATTGTGACTAAACCATCTTGGGTAAAATTCCTAAAAGGGATAGGTGGGGTTGTATGAGGTACAGTCAGTGCAGTACCCACAGTAGATGATGGTCGGCACGCCCCCAGTTTGGACAAGCACGGCGAGCAAAGGGATGTAGTGCTGTGGAGAGATGTATGCAATTCCTAGAGCTGTGTCTCCATCCATGAGGCCATTATGCAACATAAACAAACTTGCAATGAAGACAGTTTATCTTTACTTATATGGCCAAAAGTATGTGGACACGCCTACCTTTGTGTACTCTTTTTCTGAGTTTATTCTAACCGGTCTGGGCGCCTTAGATGTAATCCAGGGAAATGTTAATGCTGCGACTTACAATAAAGGTTTTGACAATGGTGTTTGTCCCGTTTCAACACGGCAATGCCAACCGAAAGAGAATATTGCTTTGACCAAATAACGACAGATGCATCTCAAATTTTTATTCACATTTATTTTTCGCTTTTAGTGTGCTCACAGAAAATTAGAACACCTTAAGCAGAGGAGTTTAATAGCAATTTTTTTTTTTTTTTGTAAGCAAAGTTACATTCCATCTCTAAGTCAAACTGATCAAAGCTTCTCCAGTATTTACACAAGGAAAAGAGAGAGAGAGAGAGAGAGAGAGACAAGATGCTACACAAACATTTGCATCTGATAGATTCCTTAAGTTTTTGTCAAAGACCACTGAAAAAGCATCGCCTGCTGTAATCAAAAAACATACCACAGTATATAAACAGTTAACCATTCCACTTATCACAGCTTGGTTTGGACTTCAAAATTGCTTAAGAAGGTCACCCGGGATGACTTTTTGTCTGTGTGTGTGTGTTGCGTTGTTATCTTACAAAAATGAGCGGGTGGAAAAAAAAGAGCTGCAAACTTCATGTGCTTCTTGATCAAGATTTTTTTCATTTTGTACAATAATCACAGTTAAAAACACCCCGCCTATACATACTTACATTTTTTTATTAAAGTCATAAAACCAACAGTAAACAATAAAGTCTATACAACTTGTATTTCTACTGAATCACTGACTGGTACAGCTAATGAGAAGTGAAAAAGCTCCTATGCGTTTATATGACTTCCTAAAAAAAAAAAAAAATCTAACTCTGGGATTTTATTGTTTTATTGTAAAAAATGACTTAGTGTTGCAAAAAGCATACGGGCGTGTATCGATGTTGGTCTCATAGTTTTTGTTTCTTTTAGACTACTCTTTCCTTAATAGTCTACCCCCCCAACGAGCTTGCCTCCCTTGCCTTTCATTTACAGCTCACCCCCCTCCGCCCCCCCCCTGCCTCCTTCATACCACGGGCATGTCCATACCATTTTGTTTACATTTTGTAGAAAAATTCCAAAAAAAAAGGAAAAGAAAATGTAATACTGATGAAAAAATATATGGCAGAGTGTGGATGTATTTAATCTGTTGTACATATTGAAGCCACCCACCGCCCTACAGCCCGTTGGAATGGAAGTAACAAGGGGCCGAGATGGGTTTTGTGTAAAGGGTTGGGGGGGGGGGGAATGGAAACCAAAAAAAAATCAAAAAATAAAGAAAAGCTTTAAAATATCCCTTGTTGTTGACAAGTTCTTCAAAGCCAGGACCTGGCGTCACTCCAACATACAAACAGGGAAATGTTCTTTGATTATCTTTCTTTTTTTCATTTTTTTTCTTTCAAATTTCTCCCCTCTTTCCCCCTTGAAACTTATTCGGCGGCCTGGGCGGCTGCGGCCGGGACCTCCGCCGCTGACGCCGCCTCCTGCGAGGCCGGGGCGGCCGCCTCCTGCGAGGCCGGGGCGGCCTCCTCCGTCTTGGGCGCCTCCTCGGCCGGCTTCTCCTCCGCCTTCGGCTCCTCTGCCTTCGGCTCCTCTGCGGGCGCGGCGGCCTCCTCTGCAGGCTTCTCTGCCGCCTCCGGCTTGGCCTCTACCTCCTCCTTGACGGGCTCCGCGGCAGGTGCGGCCTCTCCCTCGGCGGGCTTGGCCTCCTCGCTGGCAGCCGCTGCCTCCTCCGTGCCCTCGGCCTTGGCCTCCTCTGTGGATGCCGCAGCATCAGCACCACCAGCAGCTGCCGCCTCCTCCTCGCCCTCCGCTCCATCCCCCGTCTCCTTTTTGGTCTTCTTGAAGGAGAAGCCGCTGAGCTTGAACGACTTCTTGAAGGAGAAGCGCTTCTTCTTCTTCTTGGGGGTCTCACTGCTGGCGGACGGGGCGGCGGCGCCGTCCTCTGCCTTCACCGCCTCTCCCTCGGCGGCAGCAGGGGAGGCCGCCTCTACCTTCTCCCCATCCGCAGCCTCCTCGGCGGGGGCATCCTCCGCCTTGTCGGCCTCCTCCTTGGGGCTCTCCTCGGCTGCGGCACTGCCGTTGGCCTGCACCTCCTCCTTGCTGTTCTCGGCTGCGGTGGGAGAGGTGTCCCCGTTCACTTTAACGTGTCCATTTTCCTAAAGAGAAGAAACAGTGGCTGTTATTGGAATGCAAAGAGCTGGCATGGGTTTTAACAGCAGAGCCGGGCAGTGCCACTGGTGGACACTAGGGGCAGCAGACACCATCGAATCAGCTCTGAATAAAGCACTGCATCCTAGACTCGGGTTCTACTTTCAAGACACTTTATTTGGAAATAATCAAAATAACAGTCATGCAGTAGACTTAAAATACAACGCAATAGCTCTCTCTTTTTTTTTGCCCCAGGATTTCATTGACATCCTGAGCGAGTGGTCGGTGTCTGGTGCCAAAGCAAAGCAGCTGCTCATTAAAACAGCAGATGCTCATTAGTCCAGCAGGTCAGGGAGAGTAGAGTTCAGGTACATATCCTAAAAATGTTTAAAATGCAAATGGGGTTCTGAATTGTTTATTTTCCAAACTCTTAAAAAAGAAAAAAAAGGAGCGACTAAAATCAGCACACGCTCCTCTCTCTCCCTCCCCCTCTCCCTCCCCCTCTCCGGGGCGCACCACTGGCTCCCAGTCTCCCCTCCTGCGCGACAGCAGGCTGCCATCTCCACTTTCTAGTCGAGCATCTGTAACAAAAGGAGCGGCGCTCCGAGCGCACACAGCCCTTTTGTTGCCGTCGCGCATCTCGTCTAATATTTAGCGAATTGTGGCGAAGCTGTTCCGTCTCATGCTGAAATGTATTTATTTTTGGAGCACATCCGCCAACAAACCATCCAAACACACGATTCCATTCAAATGCAACAATTATATTTGTTTTATCAACATTAGATCCAACCACAATTGGCTTCTTCATGAATAAACTCTTGTTTTATCAAGTAGTTTCCTCCAAATATCCGCTCAATACACCGTTTCCTATGAAACAATAGACGTATCAAATGCTCATCTGTTGCTCGTGAACTACAATATATTCCAGATTTTAAAATCAAGCCTTAACATTTAGTTTAAACTCCAACCGCTGATCTCCATTCAATCTATCCACGATTACGCACGGATTTGCGCCCCGAGAGCGCAGCCCGACCAGATTCTCTCTCTACCCCCGCACACCCCACACCCCCCGCCCGGATGGATGCGATGGAAGCTGGATGATAAAATATCATTTACCTGTCCGTTGGTCTTTGTGGGTGAAGCAGCAGCAGCAACCTCTCCGGGCTTTTCAACCGCGGTTTCAGCCTTTCCAGCTGTCCTGGACAATTGCGCTCCCATGCTTTTAGCTCCAACAAAGAAACTGAACCGATCCCCACACACGCACACACACAAAAAAAAAAAGCGAACAAAGACCCCACAAGCCTCTTTGTTGAAACGCAAAGCTCTTCGCTGCTGTCTCCCCTCTCTCACTCTCTCTCTCTGCGCAAAGAGGGAAAAAGTTCACTGGGGAAACGCGAAAGCAAAGTCCAGTTGAGAGCGACTGAGGCTTTTTCAGAACAGCAGGGAAAAGCCGACAGGTTGGGGACGAGCAATACAATCCCAGATCGGTTGGCCGTGCCGCTGCAGACGGGCTGCAAAATGGAGAAATTTCCCTTGTTGCTATTAAGATGCGGAGTCCAACGCCCAAGTGAAGAGATGAATGGGCGCTCCGAGCGATGACGGCACCGCACTCCGATTCAGCCAATCACGGCCGCCGTCGAAGGAGCGTGGGCGGGGTTTGGGGGAAAGGGAGTGAACAATAGATTGTAGCGCTGCGTTCAGGGTACGTTGGTATAATGAATCACAAAAACAAAACAGAATCGGTCATTTTTTTAATAACTGGGAATGACACCATACCAAACCACGCGATGATTTGTTTTGCTTTTGAATGGCAGTTACTCAACCATAGGGTTCAAATATGGAAGTTTTAAACATGCAAATGTTTACATTCTACCTTCTTTCTGCACTATTAAGTCATGCTATGATCGGTAACTAGAGGTCCACTTACTAGTTTTCTGGAGCTATTTGTGAAAGATCATTACTCTTTAATGAAACATAAGCTATATTTAACTAATACTTTTTCAGGGCTTCAGGGGCTGTGAAATGGAAATTCATCAACTCAAATTATTATTATTTTTTATTCATACTACGTATATCATTTGTAACGCTTTGGAATAGTTGATTGTTTTTGGTAGTATTGTCAGACATGTCAGACAAATCCCTATGGAAATGTTCTGCGGACAATGCGAATACTTAATATATGTGGTCTAAGAAATAAGCTAGAGGTCGGTTCTGGATCAGGTTCTATGTTTTTGCACCCAATTGTAAAACTGACTGGCGAAAATCTTACCAGAACCCTGACATAACCAATCCAAAAAGGACCAGAGGGCAGTCAGATCAGACATGAGGATGATTAGACCAGGTTTGGAATGCAGTGGACCCGATCAGACCCTACCACGTATCACATGGTCATAGCTGATGGCGAGCTTCAACCCGAGCCAAAAGACTGGGACCCTGCCCGATCCTAATTCGACAGAATACACAGTCATTTGGACCTGACCTGACTCAGGTCTTGGGTCGGAGATGTTTCTAGGAAAATTAACCCATGAAGGTCTGTAGCCCAGTGGTGGATCCATGAAGGGGCTCCAAGGGGAGTCCCTAGCAAAAAAGAGGAATCATTTATTCACGCTGTAAATCCATCCACAAGTGACACTATGACTTCAATGGGTTTCGTACACTTTCTGTAGTAAAACATTGCAAGCAAAAAATCCTATCAGATGGGGACAAAATCGTATTAAATAGAGGTCCATGGTCTAGTTTGCATCAGTATCGGGGTCCTTGATGTGAAAAGGTTTGGGAACCACTGCTCTAGACTAGTCTATATTTTACAGGTAAGTAACGTATACAAGGATACTGTCGTTCATATTATCACAAACACAAATGGCCTGGGTGATGAAATCCCAATTTCGTGGTTTGACACCATAAATTAGCCGTACCCTGAATCATTTTGAGGTCATTCGGCATCTGAAAATTTTTCATGATCCTTATTCCCTGTCGGAACTTGTATGTACAATTGTTTTTAGTTTGTCTTGAATGCAGCACCAGAGATTGGAGCATCAACTTGTTCTGGCCACAGTTGATCTGCTTCACAAACCCTAACTTTAGGATAAATATATTTGAACACGTTCTCCGGATTGAATTGAACAAATGTCCTATTTCCATAGTTTTCCTGGACTAACTGATGACTTCACCTTCACTTGTGATAGCGCTGCTCTAAGCATTCACCTGGGGGTGTTGGTCAAAGCCTGCATCAACATGGGATCATTAAAACTTTACAGCAGGGACGGAAACACAGAGAGAGGAAAGATAAAACATCGGAATCATCAGAGCCACACCTCCTGTGTGTGGAGGTAGCAGAGGGGCTGTGGGAGTGGGCGTGTACCCTGTGCGGCCGTGTTGACGACCATGTGATGTGCCCAGAGGGGAAAGTTGCAGAGCGTTCAAACAGGTCCCTCGGCCCACATTTTGCAATGCAAATAGGTCACACAAGCATAGGCGGAGTCAACTGTCCTCCACAGAACAAACTGAGGTGGGCTGTCTTCTGCTTTTTAAATGCAAAACAGCCCCGTGGAGGCCACTCTCACCTGGGATGCAAACTACGGCACTGGTTTCAGTTGCTGTCGTGCCTAGTTCGCGCTACACAACTTTTTAGCCCTGACTTTCCAACTCGGCGACAGTTTTTTGAAGTTCCCCGACAAAAAGCCCCAGATCAGACGCAAGTCGGCTCGCAGATCGAACGCTCGAGGAACGTTACAGATATCTAGCATGCAAGACACGGGTTGAGGGAAAACCATGGGGATGGGTAACAATGGGAACATTTGCAGCATGGACCAAAGGCTGTTAAGCATGCATGTGAACACGTGTGCCGACGACATCAACAAGCATGACTACAAGGGAAGTTCAGCGGAATGCTTGAAGAAATAAAAAACATCCTGTCCTGCGCGCGGTATCACATCGGGCTGCAGAATTAATCGAATATTCATCACAAATCAGGATTTTGGCTTCCCACAATTGAATGAACATGATCGACTTGCAATATTCACGTTTCAAACGCGCCCTCCGCCGCATATCAAATCGAGCACCTCCTAAACTAACAAACAGCCACATGGGGACGATTGCAGCGGTAGCCGTTTAAAACCTCGAACACGTGGCTGCAGTCCAGAGTAGAAGAGTAATGCACTGTATATTACTTAATGCACCAAGTTCAGGGTAGGAAGAACCTTATTTTAAGTCCTATTTTGATGCAAAGATTTGTACGTTAGCGGGAACGTAGTTTAACGGAAGCTGAAGCTGTGCTCTCTTCATTCAAATGTGAAAGTATTTTGAACTCAGTGGATAATCGGAATAAATAAATGTGAACTCATTATTATTGATTATTATTCCATCCCTAATTGATCAGCCCTGGTTTTACATAATTTCCTTTTGCTTGAAACAAACTGGTTCCAAAATGTTGACGTCAGCATGAAGGTTGACCAAAAAACAAACTACTTGCCTTTTGTTTTGGTCAAACTATTGTTTCCTAGGTCAAGAATGGACTTTCATGCGCAATTCCATAGATATAACACTATGCCTGTCTTACACCATCTCGTAAAATCATTGAAGGTATGAAAAATGAATCATACAAATTTTGATAAACAATAATCTTAAAATTGCTATTGCAAAACCTAAAGATGGTCAATTATTCATCAGATAAGACGGAAGAAAAGAAGCAAATCTTCACAATTACACCAGCAAATACTTGGCATTTATTTTCAGTGACCAACTGAAACTGAAAACCAAGCATGCAGGAGAGCTACGGTGGCCTCCCCAAGAACAGGAATGGCCCTATCTAGAGTAACTCCAGCTGGTAAAAATGACCCAAGAGGGCAGAGAGCCGACCTTAGTGTTTATTTAGGTGTTTCTCTGGCTATTGGTTACAAACTTGTAACTTGACTAACATGATGACAGTCTTTCTTTTTTACAACGTCCACCTCAAGAGGCCAGAAAACCAAGGGAGCGACAGACAAAAAAAACAAGATGGTGACGGACAAAATGCCGAACTCAAGGCATCCAATCCGTTGGTTAATGTCTCGGTGACTACGTCCACTTCTTATAGAATATGGTTTGACCACGCATTACATTCCATCGTTTTATACTTGGCAGTTTTGGTTTGTAAAACTGTAATGATATTCTTTAACCAGAGAATAACGGAGCAAGCGTACCTTTGCCGTTTTGCATCTGAATTCAACCGTCAAACAGGGAGTAATACATTGTAGAAGAGGACACATTCCTCAACGAGCCGTTGCTTCAATGTATGCCCAGCAGTTAGGTCGTGTTAATCCCAAGACTGAAAGCAATCTGGTGAACATGCCTTCGTTGGGGGTTGTCGTCTCTAGAAAAGGCCTCTCAAGGAAATCACGAGTCAGCTAGCCACAGGAGTTGACACAACTCTTCATTTTCAAAGTCCTGCGTGTTCAGAACACTAAGTAACCACAAACACATGATATGTTGACAAAACTCAGCTTGTTTGATGAGACACATGCCCCAGGATGTGTTCTCCTGTGAAATCTGATCCAATTTATCTTCTCAAATTGAAAGAAATAGGAGGTGACCCAACCCCTGTGTGCGTAGATGACACAAAACAACACTTGTGCTGACTCCGTACTATAAAGATCCCAAGAACCAATCCCCAAACCTTTCCTTACATATTTATTTCCCTATAGGCAAATCCTCTCTGGTGCTTATCTACGCTGCAAGTATTCACCACCCTTGGCGTTTTTTCCCCCCATTTTTTTTCCATTACAGCTTTATTTGTTTGTTGGACAAATTGGTTTTATTTCACTAATTATGTGATGTCTGAGGGAAATTTGACTTTTTAATTTACATCCTACATTTACTTTTGCATCGTAATATTTTAAGTGGGCACGTAGGCTTAGCACTGTATTAGAGTATCGGAGTTTAAAAGTATTAAATTAAAACACAGTTGCTAATGCAAATTAGTTAGATGTGAACATAACGTTTAGGCGACAAGGTCTGAATAAGAGGTAACAACACTGTTAACATAAAGTTTTTAAAAAAAGTTTAACTTTCCCTTTCTACCTTGAAGTGTTTACTCCATTATTTTTTTTTTTTTACTGCCCTGAAAGCCCAGCTCCTGCTATGGAATGCCGGAGTTCATTTGCTCAGGGTCAGTGTTGTCTGAGCGAGCAGAGGACAGAGGAGAGAGTCGGAGGCACTGAGTGACGGAGCGCAGTGAATGGCGTCGCACAAAACACCAGGGAGGAGCCCACCGACCCGTCTGAATGGAACAAGGACAGGGGGGGAGAAAAGAGGCTCTTTAAAACTCAATCTGGCCAACCGTAAATGTTTGTCCACAGCTTTTCTGCTGCCATTACTGGAATAGCTGGGCCCATTGTGCCCTGTGGGAATAGCCCAACTCAACCCTGCAGCTGAGACTGGAGATTTGTGCTGCCTATACAAAAGCTATAGGAACCGAACACTCGGGGCCACACAAAAGACCGCGGAAACGTGATCGTCTTTTTTTTTCCACAAGAGCCTCGTTCTGTGGGAGAGGGAGAGGGAGAGGTAGGCACTTCCGCTGGCTCGCATAATTGCAGGTCTCC